TGTTTGCTGCTGTGAAGCATCCAGTAACCAAGTACGTTACGCTAACAAATGCCGTTCCTTCCTTGCAGTGTGGTGTTGCTGATGGGGAAGGATTTCTAAGTATTTGGCAAGTAAACCAAACCACCTCGAATCCTAAGCCCTATCTGGTAAGTGAACAGAATTTTTTATTTGTATTGCTTCCTTTTTATAGAGGAAAGTTAAGTCTTTGAGACTTCAGACAGGCCAAGAGCGTAAGAGTTTCACTGAGACACTTTTCATTGTTGCTTTTTAATGGGCATATTTTATCAAAACTACTCTAAGCATTTCAGTCATACATCTTTGGAAAACTGATTGTGCAATAACCATAAGCTGCACTTTAATTACAAATGCTACTTCAGCATTACTCTAATAATAATTCATTAAATTAAAAGTCAGAGCTGACACTAATGACTTTACCACCCAAAAACTTACTAAAAATACACTCTTCAGTTCTTTTCACTGCTACTTAACAGTATACAAAGACTGTGCTAAATTTGAAATTCAGGCTATTGTGAGGCACTATATTGTGGATTTGTTATAGTTCACTTATTTTAGAATCTTTTTATTTTATACTGGATTTTTAATCCATTGCTCTGTTCTCTGAGAATTTCAAACTGCATTGCCCAATAGTTTTTAAACTTTGTTTAAAAGACTGTGTGTGCGATGCTATCAGTGACATCAGACTGATAGGAACTTTTGATGCTGACTACAACTGGTAAGATTGCATCTTTTTGTTTTGTTTTTAATAGAGTTGGCAGTGCCACAGTAAAACCACAAGTGACTTTGCATTTATTACCTCTTCAAGTCTAGTTGCAACATCGGGACAGTCCAATGATAACAGGTGTGTTTAAAGAAACAATGAGGAATTTCACCAAAGCTCCCTATTCATCTCCATTAACTCGCTACCTCTTGTGCATTAACACATGACTGGCATTTTAAGGCTTTGTTACAGCTTAAACTTGCCAGATCATGTCTTTGACCATCATTCCTTCGCTTGCTTGTTTCCCAAATCTCGTTTTTGTGAGAAGTGGTCAACAGTTAAACAGGTTTTTCTCAAGGTGCATTCCAAATGCAACTAGTTTGAAGTAATGCTGTTGCTGGGGGGAGAAACATGTTCAGCAAAGGCAAAGTAATTCTTTTTCTCTGAAAAGAACTACTACAATTTCTTGGTATAACCAAGGATTAGTACACATCTTAAAGGCAGAAAGTATAGTTCACTAAGGAGCACAAAAGAGCATAGAAAGAATTAAAGCTTTTAACTCTTTGCACATGTTCTCCAATGACTGCAGAGAGTCAAGAGCTCCTTGTTCAGTTCTACCTTCTGGCTTTGACATAAAATGTGAACACTTTCTGAGTCATGTCACCCCAGGAATCACTTAGCACATAATGACTTTTTTTTTTGTCCCCTCAGAAATGTGTGCCTCTGGGACACTTTGGTTTCATCTGGTAACAGTCTTATACACGGTAAGTACTGCAGTGAAAATTAAACTTCTACTTCTTACTGACTGAGGCAATAGCACGTGTGTGCATCTGGGGCAAGGGGAAATTGGTGTAAATACGTGTTGCACACTAATCTGTGCACCAGAACTGGGACTGTATAGTCTCTGGCATGATGTTAAACTGCTCTATAGAGAAAAGTCTAAAGAAAGAATGTCATATACAAAGCTGGTTTTGTGTCTTAATAAAGTCTGAAATATTTGAATACAGTCCTAAAAAAAAAAAAAAAAAAAAATGCAGGGCTGCATTATTGAACTCTTATGTGTATGCAGGCTTTCACTTCAACTGGCACTTAACCAATATATCCAGCACTCTGCTGAAGCAGAAAAGACAACTGTAGGCAGTAGTAGACACAGCTCCGTCTGAGTTGACAGACGGGTAAGACATTGCCCGTACAAAGGAATGCATCTGTAAAGTTAGAAAATATTCAGATAACAATTTACAGAAGAAATGCATTTTTAGATCAAAAGCTACTTACATTTTCAAGTCTATTAAATTCTGACATCCTTCTTCTTCAGCCTTCACTTGTCACGATCACGGTGCCACAGTACTTCAGTATGCACCTAAACACCAACTGCTCATTTCTGGAGGTAGGAAGGGATACATCTGCGTCTTTGACATCAGACAGAGGCAAATCCTTTACACCTTCCAAGCACATGAATCAGCCATTAAGGCCCTTGCACTGGACCCTTCTGAGGACTATTTCGTTACAGGCTCAGCAGAAGGTAACATGAAGGTAAGGCACTGGAGGAGCCGAGCTGAACAGGACAGTATTTAGCTGAAGTGCTGCATGGACATACATTGATGAGTGTGCTGTAAATAGCCAGGTGCACGCAGTAACAAAACAAAAACAAACCCCAAACCTACATTTGATATACAGGATGCTTGCCTTACCTTTATAATGTAAACTTAAATATATTAATATCCTTCCTAAAGCAAGTAGGTTTTCTTTCCACTAAAGAAAATTAAACAGTCTTTTTAAAGTTGTATGACAGAGCATATGACTCTGAAATCTTAGCTTTATTTTTCTCTCTTAAATCTGGTTTTGCCTTTGGCTATTTCCCTTTGCAATACAGGGGGCGCTCAGTAACTTACCCATCATGTAGTTTCTGTAACACCAGCTTGATTTTTCTCTGGATGCTGTAGCCCCAGACAGCTGCTGAGATGTCATAGAAAGAAACAACAAAAAAAACCCAAAACAGAAATACAGTCCCTGTTTTAAAGGACTTATTTCTTGAATATTAAAGGAAGGAAATACAAGAACATCATAAAGAGAAGGAGAAAACAGTTTCTTTCCTTCTAGCTGGGCTGCAGCTGTCGACTGCAGCTTTCTGTGCCTCTGCAAACTTCATGGCCTGGTCTTGATGCGGATTCCAGTAACTTGGGACACAGCAGAGAGCTCAGGCAGTCATGCTACCAGTCTGCGTGCTCATTAATTATGCAGCTTGTTCTCTGCAGCATGCCAGAGCAGAAACACATTTCCACCTGCTGGGAAGCTGACCATAGTCATCTTGGATACAAATGCAAATGCAGCCTGTCCAGTTCTGCAGGTTGAGGGGGGGACGCTGGGAGGGGCAGCTTCAGACTGTCTTGCCTTATGCTTCATCAGGAGCTTCTCAAGACTCTTGGGCTTACTCTAGTTGTAGCTAATAATCAGCAAAAAATACCTTTTATCTTTGCTGGATAGGGTTTACAACAGCCAGGAACTGCAAACATTAGGGAAAAAATACAAATTCTAATTTTAATCTTCTTTTGTTATTTGTCATTCTTTTGATACAGGTGTGGAGACTGACTGGCTATAATTTAATTCATTCATTTAAAAATGAACACGCTAAGCAGTCCATTTTCAGAAATATTGGTGCTGGTGTCACCCAGATTGAAACGGTGCAAGGCAATCGTATCTTCTCCTGTGGAGCAGATGGGACGCTGAAGATGAGGGTTCTTCCCAATGCTTTCAATGTACCTTCGGGCATTTTTGACATTCTGTAGCGTTATGTGAGCTAATCTTGGTTTTCTATAATGTCCCTTTAAGTAGCTAAAATCACGGTGATATGCACTGTGGAAAGGAAACAATCTGTTTCCCTTCAAAGCAGTTACTGCAGCATTAAGTATTATGGGGAAAAAAAATTAAAAAAAAAAAAAAAAGACTTTTACAACAGGTATATTTTGAGTGTGCCCATTGGGATCACGGGTGGAAATGCATGTACACTACTATAGAAGCAAAGAGCTGAACCCAGTAGAGGCAGCGACAGGTGGGTTGTTGCTCAGCAGCCCCCGAGCTGCATTCAGTAAGTGTATTGTAAAGACTCTGACGGTTGTCAGTCCCTAAACGAGCACTGTGGCTCTACACGTCAGTAAGCATTTCGGATGTGATTCTGATTATTTTTATTCCAGTTTTTCCCACTAATTGAAGCATGTGTACAACTTCTCATTGTAAAATAGCTTAGTTTTAATTAAGGGTACTCAGTGTATTTGATTTTCGCAAGACAGTGTAATGGATGCAAATGCCGTGGAACATGTGCAATCAAGAACGTACCGAGACGTATCGTTTTATGCTGAGACTTTTTTTTCCCAGTTAGTATTGATACACAGTTGATACTGTAACTTGCACATCAACACATTTTTAAATGCAATGTTTTTTAATTTGCACACAATCTTCCTTTCTTTCTGAGAGTTATGTTTTCTGTTGGACACCTGCCTTTACTTTAGGAATGTATTGTAAGCACTAAATGTTTGTAGTGAAGACATCCATGATTCTAGTCAGCTTTTAGTTTTAAAATTCATTTGTCCAGAAAATACTTCATTAAATGAAGCTGTTAAGAGAATACCAATGGAACGTATAATGCCACATTTCAGATGAATGTTAGGCTTTATGTGGCCAGCTAGTAAATAGTGGATAAAACTGGTAATTAAATTATTACCACAGTATATTGTATAAACTATGCAGAGTTCAATATTGTTTGCTTGTAATATAACTAGCTACTGTTGTCAGATGTATTTTTCTGTTGTAAACAAAAAAACATGTTCTTAAGAGACTGGAACGGATGTCTGCATATTTAAATGTTAACAAACTGTCTTATTCCTCCAATGAAAATTTTGATGTCTGTGCTGTATTGTAAAATATGCTAGAATAAAAAGCACCTTTCTCCAAAGGTGATTTTAAATTGCAGGCTGTGAAGTATGGGAAGTATGAAAAGAAAGATGAGTAAATGTCATTGTTTAGTTTTCCCTTTGTAAGTTAAATAAATTACTTTTATTTCATGGAACAGTCCATTCCAGAACTCTTCCTTATATTTAAACAGATTTAACCAGACCTCCAGCAGACTGACTGGCTGCTGCCTGAGCGAGCTTTAACTTCACCTCAGACTGCACTGAGATAAAAAGGATTCGCTGTTTGCATTTTATTTTCAGCTGTCCTAGAAAAGCAGAAGGTTAACAGAATTTAGTTCTTCATCTCCAACACAGGCAGCTGCAAGAAACACAGCCTGGTTCTGTCACTGAGAAAAAAGCAGAATTTCCTGGCCTGCCTTCTCCAAGAGGTTCATCCAAGTGGTTCAACAATGACATTCAGAAATTTAACATCATTTAAGATATGTGTGTTACCTAGAACCTGTCACATCTGGCTTGACCTGTATTTGCCCACATTTCTTGCTAGACTTTTTTTTTTTAGCCAAAAAGTCTACTTTATTAGTACCATAATTCAATTAAAACAACAACAACAACAACAACAAAACCTCACGAAACAGCCTACCAACCAAAAGAAACCCCACAAAAGCCAAAAGAAGCCCCACATACACCAACTGTAACTCTTGACCATGAAGTTTTGCACTTTACAGGTGCAGACAGAACTCTTGGTATGAGTTTTGATGTATATACTGGTTCAAAGTATTCATTACACATTTTTATTTCCCTCTGCACTCTCCCTGTAGCACGCAAGGCCTGAATCCTGGCCTTAGTGAAACCAGCCCGTGTGTGCTAGAAGCCAGGAGCGCTGTATCGCACACTGAAGCTCTGCTGCAGCAGAGGGATGTTCCCAGCACATTTGCTGGACAAGGTTCTGCAGGCACAGACATTCCCAAATTCACTAATCCCTTTGATGGTGCCTGGATGTCACACGGGTATTAAACAGCTCTATGAGTTCAGGGTTTAAGCGATACTTTGCTTCTAGATATTTGGATGAGTTCCATGAATTCTACCAATATCAGGTAGCGGCTTTCTGAGAGTGTGATTTTTGAATACAGATAAACAAAGTAGCAGTGAGGATTTATGTTTCAATGTTAAATTCAGAAATCTGAAACAAAAATCAGAACAAAATTAAATTTAAAAAAATCCTATTATTTCTCACCCCTAGTTCTCACAAATTTGAATGTGAGTGGGCAATCTCTGGACGAAGATTAACAACAAAGGAAGTCACTAAGCACTATGACAAATACATGCATTCCTGCTCCAGATATTTCATTTTTCTAAGCAGCAAAAAAGTATACCCTTCATTTTTGGATTCCATTTCTATAGATGAATGTGGGAAAAAAATTTTTTAGAAATACACCTTACTATAATTTAAGTATAGGTAAAAGCAAGTTGTAGTAGTAGAGTTTACGTGGCAGCTGGGGGGCAAGGAAGCGTCTGTAGCAACACAAGCAACTCACTGTTAAAAAAGGCATTTTAATAATAAATTTTAAATCTTCAATTTTATACCCCATTATTTTTCTTCCCACATTCCATTTACTAAACACAATTTCATGTATATTTAATAATGCCATTATTCCCATTTTCCTTGTACTTCAGCTGGATTTTGCTTTTTATTTCACTAGACTTGTCAAATTTGAAGCTTTCTCCTTTTTTTTTCTTATTTTAACAACTATTTCCAGCCCTATTATTTTTAACAGCTTAACTTGCATAACTTTGTCCAAAAAAAAAAAATGTTCACAGGGAATCAGCGGAAAGTATTAAGTGAAAATGACAAAGGTATTTGTACACAAAAGCTCATTATTTAGACATTTATACTAGACCATAATCACTGACTAGCAAATGACTGCAGATGAGATGATTACAACTGAAAGTTATAAATAGTCTCTGCCGAGCACGTGACCATGGAATAATCAACATACATTAGATATAATAATAACAGGGAAAAAACAAAAGCAAGTCCATGCTAGCTGTGTGCCAGCTGCAATATTGAACACCTATTCTTTTAAAAGATGAGAACAGCCCACAGAATTGAAGTGTGTTTGTACAAGGGCCCCCAATCTCCCTTTTACACACACTCACAGACCACCATCGGTGAACAGAAAATTATACCAAGTGAAAAGACCCTGTGTGTATACCATACTGCTTTAAATAATCTATTTAGTCAAACACGGCTGCCATACATGACATTTTAAAATATATTCATCTGCCAAAATGTACAGGGTATACCATTAAGCTCCCATTCTCCCACGTATACAAGTTCTTATCCCTTAGGCTGTATGAAAGCATCGCAAGAACCGACTGTGAAGACCGTAACTCAAACCTCGCATCAATCTGCTTCTCTTTCAATAAATCAAAAGCAAAACTTACTGTTGTGTCCTTAGTATCAGTAACATACATAATGCCACACGCTATGAACGCGTTACCAGCCTTGGACTTGGGGTAGGTAGTATTGATATGCCGAATGACTGAAAATGTCTCTTCATCAATATGTGCTACTATTATATTTTCATCAGTGCTTGAGGCATATATAATCCAAAGGCCCTTCTCATCCACTGCTACGTTGAAATACGTCTTCGAGTTAGAAAAGAGGTAGTTACGACCATGATATAAGGCATTTTCAATTAGCAGTGTTCCCAATGATGCTTTATCAAGCCCAAGTCTGAAATGAGATAAAGTATTCAGTTGCGTTAAAAATTCATTTTTATACAAAGTGGTTGGTTGAATCAATTCAAAGTGCATTATTAGCGATAGAAGCATTGTTGAAAATACTTGAGTTCAAGGACCATCCTGATGTCTTTTAAAATGAAGTATTCTATTCAAAGCACTTTCCAAAACACCAAGAGAAAATTCCAAAGTAATAACCAATCTAAAAGATGCGCAAGAGCATGAACTCACTTTGGGTAGGTTTCACTTTATTTAGTCTATGAGCTTTTTTATCACTAGGATGAAAGCAGCAACTAAAAGGAATGGGTATGAAAAAGAATTAGATACCAGGTGAAGGCCCAAACTTGGGAAATGAAATCTGTACAGGAGTTTGCTCTCTACTAGGTGGGAACTAAAGGGAGAAAATGTGATTCACCAAACCAGCATGAGTTCTGGGCAGGTTCACCTAGTCTTAGAGTTCCTCTTTTGAAAACAGTTCAGATAATGCAGTGATTTGTTCAAGTAAACATCAAAGGAATAAAAATTCTACTTTTGCAGAGCCAAAATTCTGACCTCATGCTGGCCTCCAGCAAGACAGCCTGAATGTCTCATCTCTGAGGTATAAAATTGTTTTTATTCCTTGAAATTCCTTAATAGGATGATAATCTGAGGACAGCGGCACCGAGCAGCTAAATTGAGTTCCTCTACTAGTTGAAGAGGGTAATCAGCTACTATCAAGACACATTTGCAGTTCACATTTAATCACTGAAAAACGCAGCGCTTTAGCAAGGGCAGAGAGAGTACACTTTATCCTTTGAAATGTAATGAAGCACATTTCATTGTCTGACTTTCATCTAGCTGGAAAGCTCCATTCCTCAAATAAAGGAAAAACATTACTCAATACAGGAATCTGCTACAGTTACAAAAATTTTCTGAAAAACAGGGCTTAATGACAGGAACATTTCAGATCCAGGAACAAATAGAAGGATAATTTTTCTGTGGAAGAGGCGTTGAGAGCCTAGACTGGAAACATCATCCTAAGAAAAGTCAGGAATGACTAACTAGATGATTCCCCTCAGCTTTTTGTCTGTGGCAACTCCATGTTCCAGCATCACGTACGTGCAATGAAAAAGGGCTTCAAGGCTGGAGAAGGTTTCTGAGAAATGTGTGTCAACCCAGTTAATCTAATCAGTTGCTTCATGTTTGTAAATAACCCCAGACAAGGGCCAGGGCAAGGGCTAGAAGGACAGACCGTAGCAGGAACAGTCACATAGATACACAGATTTTCTTCAGGATTTTTTTTTCTATAAAGAGCCATCAAGATAAAAAGCATCTCAAGATTCATTAGGAATGTGCAAGATATGCAACACAGAACACCCTGTCTTTTCCTCTTTTATTTGAAAATCCTGAAGGGAGCAGAAAAGTGAGGTTTCACTCCTGAGGGTTCTCTCTTTCTCTCCCCTAGTGAAGGACAATCTGGCCTAGAACTCCAAATGGTTCAGAGGTTCCTCAATCTTCTGGCACCTTGGGGTAAATGACAAGATAAAGTGTAATATTTTCATTAACTGCAGGGAACTCAAGCTACAAACACTTCTCTGATCACTAAGAGAATGAAGCTAACCAAATATAAGAGAGGTGGGAAAGCACATGAAACAAAGGAAGGATGAAGCAATCAACGTCAGGGATCTGAGCATCATCAGACCTGCCAAAGGCCAGACAAACCTAGTTTTACCAGCTTTTAAATATGACAGGAAACTCCTTTTAAATACTTTTTTCAACATTTGCAAAGCAAACCAACCAGGTCCTCATCTGTTCTTTCTATTAAATCAATGCAAAACTCCCAGAAGCTTTTCTGCAGCCCAAAATCAAGGACTTCACTGGCACAGAATTCACAGTGCCTCATCTTATCTGTGCTAAAGGTAAATAACCTTAGAGTGAATAACTGAACAGAAAAGCCATCTCTCAGCAACTTTAAAGAGATTTTGAAAATTCCACAAATAGCTTGTGTTCATCTGTACGTGAAGGCATTTCCCAATTAACAAGCAAAGGTGTGGAACCTCTGTCCTATCACTGTATATTGCTTACACAGAGATGGCCTTTTACAGGTGTATAAACAAAAAGCCCCAAAGATATTTAAAGGAGGTTGCCAAAGGGTGGGCTTGTCTTTGACAGAATAAATATTATAGAATCCCAGCAGCTTGCTCACATTCCTTGGCATCCAAATGAATATAGGAAGGCGGCACTCACACCTGCTCGGGAATAGACATCAAAGTGCAGTAATGTTCTTGGCTCCAACATCAGAGTCATGTAAGAGAACTTGAAAGCAGATGCAATCTTGCACTTGCCCTTGGACTGTCTTCCTTTGGCTCTTCCCACAACATGAGATTTTGGTTTTGATTTGTATTGTCTGTCCCGTCCTTAGTAGAAACTGAAGAAATAGAGATATAATTCCCAGTTCCAATTCAGGGAGATACATTGGGAGAGTTGTAGGAGCTACTTTTTACCAGGAAATCAAACAGCGGAGCCACTCCTCCACAACGGGGTGTGCAATCCCCAGGTCGCCATGTCCTCAGCGGGTGCCTGAGCGCATTCCTCTGCACTAACTCAGCCCCCGCCGGCTCAGAACAGCACTATTGAGAGCAAGGCACGTGCAGCAACCCAGCAAGAAGCTCTGGATAAGCCAAGTTCCACACGTGGGCTACAATCGTATAACCACTCATTTGTATCCCCCAAACTGCAGCTGAACCAATTCTTACTCTGATGCAGGTAGATGCACAGCTTATTTTTTTTAAATCAAATACCTTTTTTCTGACCCCCAAATTCCTTAGTCAATTGCTTTTCTCTTTGCTTTCTCACAACTACGAACACAGCAAAGAATCCAAGTGCAACACCACCCTCAGCAATGCAATGTATAACTGAAACCCACCGGACCCCAGGATCAGCAAAAGAAAAATCTGTTGTCACCTCTGCACTTGGCATCTTGTTGATCTGGAGGGCCAGTTGTCCTATCATGTATCAAACTGCTCGAGTTCACCCCTTAGGCGCAGAGCTGAGCAATGCGTAAAGAACTGACTGTCACAGCAGAGTAAGGGACCCAGATCACCCTCCCCGTTCCTCTCCTCCCACAGCATCTGCACGCACAGATGAAAGGCCAGTGGCCCACATTCCAGTTACAGATTGGAAAGAATTAGTTGTTCTGACCATTCTTCCATTCTTCCTATTCTAGACAGGACCAAAATGAAACATCAGACAGTACAAGGAAAGTGGTCTGCTTTGCTGAGGTTCCCCTCTGTCACTCCAACCCATTGTTCCTCCTTCCACAACATCACCTGCCTTAAGCCGGCTGTGTCTGACTTACTTCAGAATGACATTGGTTCCTCCCTTTTGATAGTAGAGATGATTGTTTTGTACCGCATGGCCACATCCATAAAAGAATCCTGTGATGTTAATGATCCTGTAGCTGTCATTCAGCAAGGCATTAGAATTCTCATATTCTTTTATAGAGTTTCCTAAACAAAGGGGAAAACATGAAAAAAGGACTATGATTTGGTTCATCTAATTTTGGAATCTCTACCCTAAAATTCAATCTCTACTGAAAGTCTCTCTCAATCAAATATCTGACAGACAGACAACAATTGTATTTGTGTTTTCAATAGTGATTCAACTTGCTGGAACACAATTAAATAATCCACAAACACCCCAAAAAATCTATAGAGGCATTCAAGGGCCTGCTTCCCACTGACCTGATGGGCCCTAATTCTGAACACAGTTGGGTAAATATACAGAAAATATGTTCTTTTTTCACTTAGGTCCTGGAAATTTTCCTGCACTAAAAGTAGTTCATGCAGCATCTGATTTGCTTTCATGCCCAGCTATATGAAAAGGCAAAAATCCGAGCTACAACTGGGGAAGTACAGCCATAGGAAACTGTTGAAAGAAATGAGTAAAAAGGCATGAGCAACAGGCATTTAAACCTGGATTGGTTAAAAAAACCTAAAATCCTCAAACTATTTCCAAAATCTGATGTTGACTCTAAAAATGTCTGAAGGACTACAAATGTCCATAACCGTATGTACAGTCAAGTATGGTAGTAAGGAAAATATTCTGAAAATTATGTGGGTAAAAAAGCAGTTGTACTTGATTAGAAATACTAGTTTTAGTTAAAGGAATTAAGAAAGCCCTGTTAGTATAACAACTAAGCTTTGATCAGTGACTACTCCTACTGTACCTGAAAAATGCATGGTAAGCCAGATCCTTTCATCGCTTATATTTGCAGGTTCCCGCATCCAAGTTCCAAACGTTTGCTGGACGCTGACAAAGTGAACAGGACTTCCTACAGATGTTATGACACATTCTAGTAGAGAAAAAGCACATGTCCGTTATCTGTGACATAAAAACAGTAAGTAGCAGTTAATCACGCTCTGTAGCAGGTTACCAGCTTTTTTTGAAGGACCAGGGGTTCTCTCTTCAGCTTTTCCAACCAGGGTATCATCATTCGGTACAGCACACGTGTCACCTAGAGTTGAGAGAGAAAGGGTTAACACGTGTCATCTTTCTAGATTAGACATGACAGATGTCCACATAGGTGACTCCACTGAAATAAAGGAATGACAACTGGGACTTTGTTTCACCTGGGAAAAAAGCTTAGGTTGGTCTGGTCACAAAATGAGATAAAAAAACCAACTTGCTCTCACTTCTACCAAGAAAATGAAGTGTTTGGGCTGGCTGGTTTGTTTCCTTAAAGTTGTCAGGCTGACAGTCAACTTTAAAGGAGTAAATAATTTTGCTCAATAGATTTAATTCATTAGCTGTGAATTTCAGAGCAGCTGCTTAGAAAGACCTTTCCTTGGATAACTTCCAACAGCCGAGGTAGCTGGCAGCTGGCTGATTTAGCAGTAACACCAAAAATGCTTTCTTGGGAATGAGTGATGTCTAATCTCAAAAGCTTCATGCCCAAATCTGCATACGCCATCGAGGGGGGCCATTCTGTAGGCACCACTGGAAGTTTTGCTTGTGCTGCTAATGCCCAAGAGTAATGAAGTACTAACAAATACACTGAGCACACAACACATACGAATGCAGGTCAGCCATCCATGGCTCTAAAGAAGCAGTGTGAAAGTCTAAGGGAAATTGCACCATATTCCTTATACACAGGGAAACGGTTCACACTAGAAACCAACACCTGAAAACATTTTCCCACACCCCTCAACTCTTTAAATTGTAACTGGTTGGGTTTTCTCTTAGTGTTCACTGTTAAAACAATGCCTGAATGAAATTATTTATGGATCTTTCTCTATAAAGCCAGATACCTCTTCTGCCTTTAAAACAACGCAACACATCTCATTTTGCTTAGAATGAATAATGACAGAGAACAGTTCCCAGCTCTTTGCTGAAGAGATCCCCATTCCATTGTAGCCTTGTTTTCTAATTCCATTCCCAACTTTTATCTTGTCACACATTTCACGCTGTCTGGCATGCAGGCTCCAAATTCTTTTGGACATGCATTTTAATTGTTGCCTTCCAATATATTTCTATGATTTATAGGGTTGTGATGTAGTTTAAATGAGAAAGATAGTACAAATATGAAATAACTATAAAATAATGCTGAAAGGGTAGTGTGACATTCAGGAAAGAAAGGGCACAAAATACTGGATTGTTTTTTTCTCCTTTAGGTTGTATCTTCTCTTTGTTCCTGCAGAAGGAAACTAGTCCAAGACAGAGCAAGATCAACGCTTATTTCTCCCACGCATTTATCTAGGACATTTTGCGATACGACATTGAAAGTTGGGAGTGTCACAGAGCATCTCCAAAATAAGGCACAAAGTCAATCCAACCACGGACGATGAAAGCCTATAGCAATCCCTCTAGATCCCTTTCCAGCTTCTGATCTCAAAATATCTCAAAAAAAGGAATCCACTCAGCAGAAATTATGAGTTGCAACGCACAAGTTAATTTTCTTGTGCCAAGTCTAATAGCTGCAGGTAACTGAATGAGCCATTCCCTAATACAGTAGTTTATCTAAGACTATGGAGTAGTCAAGGACCAGGTCAGTGTTTGTTATGAAGCCGAGTGCACTATTTGGATTTGAGGATATTTGCAATGCTTTCTGTGAACTTTCAGGTGCATGAAACAGAAAGCAACTAAGATTAAAAAGATAGAGACTTTTATGTGGAATTTCCACTGCTTTCCTTCCATCAAAAAAAGATAAATAACCTACTGATTCTGTCCTAAAATATTCTGGCTGAGATTTACTGGAGTTTACATGACATTAAAACTACTGATTTTGTTTGTCTGGGGAGGGTGGGAAGGATGGAGGAGGGATGTTTTATTTCCTTTAGAATTAGCTAACTACCATTGAGAACAAATACACCTGAGATTCCAACTAATTACCCTCTTCTCTTGAAGACATAAAATCTTACCTGATTCGAAATTTAATTTAAAAAAAAAAACATTCTTGTATTCTTATGTAATAAGTTAATTACAGTTGTAAATCAGCATGTGTATTCTCTTTTCTTCAAAGGGATATGAATACTTAATTACAAAAGCTGCTTTATACTTTGAATTTTGTTAATAGGATCTCACAGCCTACTGACTCATAAAACATAAATGCTCATTGAGGAAGATCCCTTTGCAGAGTGTTATTTGAGTATAACTCCCATTTGCACTCTGAGATTTAAAATCCATCAGATGGCTTATCCTCCAAAGCACTTCAGTCTGTTGCAACACTTGAAAAGAGGTACCTGAGTAAATGGTCCAATTCCATCTCGTGTAACAGTTCATGCATTTCTGAATTTCAAATAGGATGAGATTTCTGCTCCAGCTTCCTACTTTCCATTGTAAGGAGGCTCTTTGGACTCTGTTCTAACACTTCCATACCCAGTGTCTCCTGATTGAGGTTATTACATGCTACTAAATTACATGCTATATTAAAAATAAGAGGTGGAAGTGATTGATATACGTTGCACCCGGTATTAAACATCCACTGGTTAAAAGCATTTATAATAATAGCATATGTTTCATCTCAGCAAACTGTGCACTATGATGGTGACATAAAAACTTATCACCCTGTTAATGGAGAGACATACAAATTGCTCTGCTTGTTTCACCCTTAATAACTGCACAAAGTTCTGCTCTTCCCTTTTGGTGTGCCTGTCACAAAACTACATTCCCAATTACAAAAGAACCCCCACTTTACCAAACGCTGTTGCAGATAACTCTCCTCTTTCCCAGAAATGTGGAAGATTAGTAACTGAGACATCCTTCGCTATTATTTGACAGGATCACTCTGACCTCCCTGAAAACCCGTATCTCAGCTGGGAGGAAAATTCATCCCCAAACTGCAGGGGTAGCAACAGTCACTGAAAGCTACAACCATCTTAAATACAACACCATCCAGGGGTAAAGGACAAGGACAGCCAGATCCAGTATGTACATCCAAACCCAAAAGTTTGCTTCTATTCTCAAGCTGGAGTAAGCAAGAAATACAACGCTCTTTGCTTTCCACAATCAGTTAATAGCTTAAACTATAATTTTCCACTTATCACTATGCCACAATGTTTATGGAACCCGTGGTTCTGATCATCCAAACCACCAGCTCCTCTCATCTTCTACCGCTAATTCTTCACTGGCCAAAAAATAATAATAAAAAAAAGGTTCTTCTCTTCCAGTATGTAAAAATGATTTGAACTGCAAGTCTCAAAACCAGACTTTTTGAGAGAGAGAGTTTTCAGGAATGGAGGACAACATTTTTGGCCAAAATTTTCACAAGTCCAGCAACTTCAGACATCCACCTTAAAATACTTTTAAAAGACATCTGTTGATTTTCATGACAAAATGAGTAAGAACATCCTTGATTTCCAAGCACCAGTCTTCCCAACCGTGACCACTCTTCCTCTCAATGTGCCTGAAGTGGCACTTAAAAGCATTAGAAAAATCAAGCCCTCATTCAATACCTCTAATTCAAAACAGAGTTGTTCAGAGCATTAGAGAGATCAAATATCACAGAAATTACATTTTCTTTTCAATGCTGTTGAAAATAAAGTTGATTACAAAAGTTGCAAATACTTTCACAGAGAGTCACAATTTCCCTGTTAACATCTTAGAAGCTATTCCCACTCAAAATGCAAAAAGAAATACAAGCCTATCTGAAAAATCCCATTTAAAATTATTTCTTCTATGATAAATATAAATATCCATAAAAACACAGTAAGAAATGTCTTTACTACGGAAGGATTTTAGAATATTAATATAGCCTTTGGTATCACATTGACACCAACACTTTCTTCCACAAAGTACTTAGCTATTATTAATATATTTAAATCCATATAAATGTCAGGCATGGAAAAATATGCTCAGGACACTGTATCTGTCAATGCATTTATAAAATGCACTGTTCAAGACAGCAGAGTACATCCAACCAGTCACCTGCTGGAGGGGGAGTTTATGCCAACTAACCTTCTCTAGATGTGCTCCACACAGCAGAGGCAGCATCTTGGTCATTAACACACACGCATGGGCACATGCACGCACACACATGAATTTTATCTGAGGCACAATCTCAGTCTATTTGAGAAAAAGATCTTCTAAGACATGGATAGAAGCTGTGACGTGAAACACTGACATGATTTTTTCAATAAACCACAACATCAAGTTCAATCCATGAGTATCGGCCAGTACCCAGCACACCTGAAAGTCATACCTCAGACATCTCATGACAAACTCATAATTATGTCAGCACTGACTCTCTAATCAGTGACTACAAAGAAAAAGTGTATCAGCTGCCACATTTCAGCACACAGTCTGGGACCTGTCAGTCTGTATACTTGTATTTTGGTTCTAACAGTATCTGCTGTGAAGTTTGCAGTCCCAGTTTGAAGAGAATCTATTCTGTCTTTAATTTCCCTTTCTTAATATTAGCTGTATATCTCATCAACACAGCTACAGCAAATAAAAGGGACTCAGGATCTCCCTGTCATTCAGGATAAAATAATGATAAATAGCAACAATGGGAAAGAACCGATGATCACTTTGCTCCCAAACTTACATATTCAAATGGACTCAAAGTCTGAGAATCCTTTTGTATTCCTCCAGCTTTTAGAAGTCTTATCTAGTTCAAGCTTTCTTCAGTTCTGCCTACGACCAGGCAATTTCATTTTGTAGAATAGAGTGAAACATAGCCCAGTTAACAGGTTATATTTACATGTAAAATTAAAGTTCAGCATTTAAAAGCTAAAGAGCTCAACTTCATTTCTCTTACTTTCCAAATATACCCTACCTAACAGAAAACACCATGTATAAATACTTTGCCTGAATATTACTATAGCATGATTAAAAGATGAAAAATATACTGGAGATAGCTTGCTGCCTTATCCAGATTATACCTCAGCAAAACACTTAAGCACATGCTCAGATGCCAACAAAATGAAACACATGCTTATTGTTTTGTGAGACTTGGAGCCATGGGTTTAATCTTGAACCTTTTCATAATACTAAAATGAACACTGGAAAGAACTAACCTGTGCATTTGCTGCTGTATATGTTCTCCTCAAGCTGTGCTTTACCTTTGCCTTTACGTTTCCCTGGAGGCCCTGGGGGTCCAGGTGGTCCAGGGGGCCCTGGGGGTCCAGGTTCACCTTTTGCACCTACATACAAAACAGAGTACAACGTCACAGGCCCTGTAGGCAACAGGCAACCTGCAGAGAACTGTACATGCCCACCTGTCACCTTTGAGAGATCTCTAAAACAGCCTCTCTCTTCTCAAGAGGCTTCTGCAAATAGAAATACAATAAACTCAGTGGGATGCTGTTTGTTAGAAGGTGAATATGGAACTTCCCAAGCTATAGGACTTCAATGCAATTTATCTGTCTGGATTACATTAGAGTTATAGAGCACTGTTGCCTTTTACTTACTGTATTCTGAGACCTCAACTTCAGATGTTACAGTGTTATTAATTTTTCACAGCTTATATTTGTGGCTGTTTCATGTATTCCTGAATGGAAATCTGCCCCTCATTTTTGTAATAGAAAAATAAAACTACACTGCAAGAAAAAGCAGGAGGAGCTCAGCTGTCTCAAAGTGCACTGGAAAGAGTGGAATTCATGCACACCTCAACCTAAAGCCCAAGCAGAAAAGTTTTTGTGAAGACTTGCTTTAAAAAGAGAACATAATCTCCTGCGCAGAGCAATAGTCAAACTTCACTGTGGATAACATGGTTGTGCTGGTTGGTGCTACTCCTGAAGGTCACATTCACGCCTCAGAAGCAGAGTGTATTTTTTTGTCGAGTCCACTGCTTCAAGAGAGCTCCTAAGAGCACTTCTTCCTACCTTCTAATATCACATCGTTATTTGCATCCCCCTTTTCACCCTTGGCTCCTCTTGCGCCTTTTCCTCCTGGCATCCCATCCTTGCCAGGTAAACCTATTTGTCCGGGCTCTCCTTTCTGTCCTTGATCACCTTTTGGTCCTGGAACACCTAGAAATGAAAAGCATTTTAGTACCAAGAACAACTGTTGCAGTATTAAGCATCCATCAATACATTTTTATAATACAAAACGTATTCACTCTACCTTTTTTTTTTTTTTACACCTGTATTTAACTGGGTAGCTGTAATTTGTTTTTGATATTTGCAATATTCTATAGCCTATATATGCCATCTTCTATAGAATTCTGTAATGTGCAACTTTGTAAACATTGAAACCGTTCACCCTGTACAAAGGTCTAAAAGTAGCTACATCCGAATATAACAGTAAGTAAGGATTTCTTTTTTACAAGCACCCTTCCCCTTTCCCCAAAAAATTTTACCTATTTTTCCTCTTTTTCCATTTATTCCTGGTTCTCCTTTTTGTCCTGGTATACCTGGGACTCCATCTGATCCATTGTAGCCAGGCAATCCATCAAGTCCAGGAGGCCCTGAACACACCAAACAGCATATCTGAATTTTCCCTGTTAAATGCAACTTATCCTTAAATCTACCACATAAAATCCTCTAACTGACCATTATGTTTTCCATATCAATTGAATATTCTCCTTAAAAAAAAAAAAAAAAGGCAAAACAAAACAAACCCACTACAACCAAAACACCAACAAAAATCCCACAGCCAAACCAAACCAAACAATACAAACAAAAAATACCCACCCACAACTAAGAAACAGAAAACTATGAAACTTTTCCCTGGCCTTAACATAAGAAAACTGGAAGAAATGGACACTGCACACATTTTGCGTCAAGGCCAGCACAGATCAGCCCTCTGGATTCCACTTGAAGGACAAACACAGCGGAATCCATCCTATTTCTGAATTTGACAGTGACTATAAAACCTTCCAGAAGCCACATAAGTTTTAATGTTAATTATGATATTAGCCAGACTGGTCTAACGCAAGGAAAGCATTTACCTACTAGTCCAGAACACTGCAGTGCCAAATCACGTTTGGCTGATAGAGAAGACATCACTCTCTCTGTGTCGCTATTTGAAACCCCACAAAGTACCTGACACTTTTCCGATACAGGGAATTATTCTAAGCAGGCCCACAGCTACAGCAGCACAGAAAAAAGCACAAGTGACTGTTCATCCAGCCTAGCAACCATGAGTGACAACAGAGAGAGGGAATTAAATAAGAAAGGAGGAAAAGTAATGGGGGAGGCATCAGTAACCAACGTTTTTTAAAGAGATGTTTTTAGTGTTAAATTATAATATTGTTTACTTGGGCTTTTTTTTAATATATGTATATTCATCTCTTCAGCTAAATGCTACTTAAACACTCTTAATTCCATTTGGTTTTGATCAAATATGTTTTAGCAAATGTGAAACTATTCTATTCCTAGCACTAAAAAAGTTTAATGTCTAAAACCTCCCCCCTCTCAGAAGGGACACAAGTTGACCTAAATACAAAAATTATAAAGGCAGGCAGGCAGTCATTCAACCCTTCCTCTTTCTAATTAGCAAAGGAAGACTATTCTTTAAAAGATCCATTTCAACATTTTGTACCAGCAAGTGTTTCAATTACCCAAAAATGCAACCGCAATTGTCCAAGTATCTTACCTGGGGGGCCTGGGGGACCTACAACAAGAACAAGCAAAAGAAAGAAGAAATGATGAGTTTAACCTGGCAAGAAAACAAAAAGCAATTCCAAATTGAATTAACACCAGATCAGAACAGTAATTGGGGAGGAAAGCCCCTAAGATTTCAAAATGAACACCTTTTTTTTATGTAAGCGTTCTCCAAGATCCTACTATAGAAGAAGAATAGCCTTACAATACTGATGAAGGTCACAAATAAAAATCCTGTTGAAAATACACATAAAACTACATACTACACTTCTCTGTGTTTCATGTGTATTTCATTGCAGTTCAGGATTCAGACTATTTAAATAGGAAAGAAAAAAAAAAAACAAAAAAAACCAAAAAACAGTCTTGTCATTCCTATTAACTACATCTAAATCCCAACCAGGCTTTTCTCACATAGTTGTTTCTCCACACTGGACCAAGGTCCCCACAGAACCCGTCTGGTGTAATAGAAATTGGACTCACTTCAGGTATTCAGCAACATGTAACACAATAAAATCTGTCACTCTCTCTGGCTCAGTTCAAGTACAGGGCCTTAATGAGAAGAGAGCAAAGCGCACAAGAGTAAAGCAAGAGTAAACCAGAAAATGTTTCTGTAATAATATCTTATGTGATCCCCAGTACACATTTTATTTAAAAAAAATTTTAAAAAAATCAAACACCATCACAAAAACAAACAGGAAAAGCAGGTTAAGAGAATACAAAGAAAGGTGGTAGCTGCAATTAAAGAATCAAATTAGTTCTGTGACCTTTTATCCAGCCAGCAAAGTACTGTCTTGTTTAACAAATCTCTCTACAACAGAAAATAACAGTAATTACCCGATTTCCCTATAGATTACAATTTTCAGCATTAATTAGAAAGCATTATGAGTAAAGTGAAAACCATTTTATAATACCATTACAGCAATTATCCCTTTTAATCAGTACAGGCAGTAACATCAGTTAACATCTTTCTGCCAATTTTCCAGTAAATGACCTTTTTTGTCCACACTACAATGTTACGTCCATTAGTGCATTCAATTAATTCCTCATCTTAAAAACTGAGGATCTTGATTTCTCCTTGCATAAGCATAAGATAAATAAAAAGGTGCTTGAAAAGTAGGAAATGTTGCATAGCAGAGAAAGCCAGTAATAGAGACAAAATTTAATAGTGTCAAGAGAGCAAAAGGGGTGCAGAAGGCACCAAGTAGCATGAATTCAGGAGTCTGAAGCCTGAAGAAACAAACTTTCAGGTTGTCTGTGGTTGCCCCAGTTGCAATCAGAACTGATCTACAGTTTCAGAAGTGCTTAACATCTGCATGTACTCTGGCAGTTCTCATTTACGTTGAAATCGGTTGAGCCAAATGCACCTTATAGCCATTTGAAAATACAAACCAGACAGCAAGCGAAGTGTTTTCTTAAACCTATAAAGAGTGGTTTATTTCTTATTTTTTCATTGCTAAAAAGAACACGACTCAGTGTGTTATAGGCTTTAAAGCTAGACCATAGCCCTTAAATTGGTACTACCCGACATTCTCTGCAGCAAATCCCACATAAATGTCACATACTGTCTTGTCCCAGCTCCCCCCCGGTAACATGTGAAACCAAACGTCCTGTTACCATGGTCCAAGGCAGGATGAGCAAACACGTTGCTCATCAACGTCCCACTGCTCCACAACAGTTACAACAGTGGAAGCAAGATTCCACACTCTATATGTTCATCCCACGTTTGCCTCAAAGTGTGGGGACATACTCAAAAATACCAAAACTAAACCTCAACTAGTATTTGAAATACCTGAGTCTATAAGATTTGCTTATGAAAATGGGAAAGAAATACCTCAGAAAAGAAAGACCATCAACTGAGCTCCAGCATTTATAGTGAGCAGGTATAGGTAAGTCCCAAAGTAGCACCTATTATCGTTTTTTAAATAAATAACCCAATTGATACGTAAATTCTGATAAGAGTAAATAGCATAGTTCTTTGACGTAGCCATTGACCTCAAGTTCTTTTAAAACATTGTCGTTCTCTGTTCCTAAAGGTAACACAGGTGCAATGCCTAAGGCAATAAACATACCTGTTAAGCATATCCCTTTTGTGCTGTTACATAAATCCACCATCACTCGGACCTAATATTGCAAAGAAAGTAAAGTTGAAAACAATGCATACCATAGAACTATCTAGTTTACTTTGCCTGCAGAAATAATTCCAAAAACAACGATATGACTGTCTGCTCTGTGCTTATAAAAATAAACTATTTAGAAATACTTTAGCATTATAACACCGTCCATCTCTTCAGCAGTGATTCTCTCATAGGAAATCTGTTCAATATACCTCATTTTAAACCTTACTGAAAATATGAAGAAAATACTGGGCAGCCAAATCCATGTATCATCTAGGCATTAAAGTTCACACGCTACTTAAAACATGTGGGGTTGTCTATGCATTGATTCTACCAGTGGAAGGTATTAAGAGCCAACATCAGCCAACAAAAACTATAATCAATTTTATTTTATATTTGTATCAAATGATGGAAACTTTTCCAGCACTGCATATCCAGAGAGAAAGATGACCTATGCTCCAGGCAAGTGATTTCTTATCTTGGAATAACCAAGATCTGTAAATCCCAACATCCCAATCACAAATCTCAACTTCATAAAAACCAAGCTGGAAGAGGACATTCATACAGATGCTTTTAATCTAGAGTAGGCTACATGTTATGAATTAAAAAGCCATCTTTACTAAATACATGGATTTTGGCTGGGCAAATGTTCACGTGGCATGTCCTGCATGCTGAGAGTCCACACTCTAAAATGTTTTGCAACTCATCAAAACATCCAGCAGAAATATGAATATTAGAAACATGAGAATATTATGAACTGGAAATGCCTCAACTCTTTGTGGGAAAATCTAATGTTTGCTGAAGTGATTACAACTTGCTTTGGGGCCCTCCAATGAGCTCAGCAGCATTATTTTTACCAATCAGTGTAAGTCAGGTGACAATTAAAAAACATGGCACTCGAAGTGAGTGTTACAGCAAACAGCCCACAACAGAACCTCCAGCTTAACTATGAAAGACGAGTACCCCAGTAATCCAACGGGCCAGCATCACCTCTGCCAGGAAGAAAAGCTACAGATAAAAGTATCCTATTTAAATGCTAAAAGCTGAGTTTTCTCATGAAGAGAGGGGGGAAAAAAAAAAAAAAAAAGACAACCTAAACTATGGGGCCACTACTCAGATAATTAGATATCCATAAACCACCACTTCTTGCACTGTTTTACATCTCACTTTCAGACTTACTACTCACAAACTTACTGGACCTTTACCCTCTCATCAGCCTTTCTACAGCAGCAGATTTTCCAGTTTCCTATATTTACTCTTACAAGATAAATATATATAGATTTATAAATACATAAATAAATAAACAAAAGGCACAGAACCTAAAATACATAGATGCTATTAAAGCTAAAATATGATTTTTGATGCCTGAAGTTATTTCAAAGACTCTTGACCAGTGGCCACAACAGGCCCCCCCGGCCCAGCGGCTGTGCAGAGCTGTGCAGAGCAGGGATGTTGACACCGACCTGCAGAAATCTGTGCCTCCACTACAGGAGAGATCCTGCTCAGGCAAAGCCTCCATTCAGGGCCCACCTTCAACAGAGGCTGGAACATTGTTCTATGGCCCACCAGTGTAGCAGGGATTACCTCGCCAGCTGTAAGGAGCTTTGTCTCACGCTACAGAAGTCTCCAGGCCTTTGTTATTACATTAGTGTGAGTTCAGTACAACATACAAAACTGAAGGTATGGGAGGGGGATGCTCAAAAATTTGAACTGCCATCGAGACATCCACTGCCATGAATGATTGCAGCCTGAGCACCTGACGGTGAACAGCATTAACAGCGTTCAGTCCCTGTCAGCATCTGAACCTTTTCACTGATAATTTTATTTGTGGATCCCTTTGACTCAAAGAAGGGATTCAGACTGGATGGAACACAATGGCCTGTAGCTGCCAAACACAAAGATGATTTCTTAAAAGAAACAGGATAAAGCTTTGACTAAATGTTTCGATGAAAAGCTTAGGTACGCATAGAAGAGTATTTCACTGGGCCAGCAAATTTTTCAACATTACTTTATCCAAACAGATCTAAAGAAAACATACTGGTTTTTTCCTTTTTTTTATTATGTTTCTAGAAATTCATCTAAGTCTTCGAATTTGAAATAGCCCCCTCAGTAACAGTAACAGCACTATGGTTCAAAAACCAATGATTTCCATTCCACTTTGACCTAAAATAATATATATTTCCTTTATGAATGGACAAAGAGCTGAAATGTGTATTATTGGTGTTACTTTTAAGACCATTTTGAGTAGAAAACCATATGGTTTTAAGACTTCAGGAAATTAAACGCTCCAGTAAGATGCACATAGGGTCCAGTGAAAACTGTTGCTACTTTAGTAAGTGGAAGTAGGAATTAGAACCAAATATCCACTATCTTTTCGGCTTGCCTCTCAATAAAAAAGACATTCTCACAGAAGTCTTGTACTGCAAATTCTAAACTCAAAGCACAAGGACTTAAATGGCCTTAGGTAAAAAAAGTAATGATTATTTATTCTAAAACCCAAAACATCTGCATTATCAAAACTCTATGCTACGAACATCTGTGCTCTACAATCTCATTAGATCTAATATTACTGGAGATGCTACCACGGTTAAATCATTGCAATGACTGATTAACAAAAATGCCAGCAGAAATCACTGAAAAGGTATTTCCTGTAAGTAATTTTTTAAGTCAGTGATATTAGTTACCTCAGTAACTAAGAGCTTGAGTCAGTCTTTCCTGCTTTTTTGGGGGCCCAGGGCCGCAATCCTTACTGGGCAAGAGTTTCCCCTAAGTTTCCTTCAATAGTAATATTTTTCTTGCATTTCTTCTGACTCTGAACTTAAAAGCTTTTCAATCTATTCAAAGTTTTTCGACTGTATGACCTGTATAATTTTTCAACTGTATGACCTAGTTCCTACCAAGCAAGGCTAATCTTTTCACTGAAGTGCAAAAAACTATGCTGTTTTGCCAGAGAAAGGACAGAGCTCTCTTCTTCCAACCCATCAAATACCACCTTAAATTCAACACTTAATGAGAGGCCATGCATCAATTACAAAGAAATGTGACGGTAAACTAACATCCAGCACCTCGTGTTGCAGTGCTGAAGAGCAGAAAACACAGCATGGGGAGGAGAGAGGGGAGTGTCCTTTAGTAGTGCAGAGATTTAAAAACCTGAAACCTTGGAAACTGGAAGGCTTTTTATTGCAACTAAGTTTTTGAAGTTTCGTTAAATACATGCTACTACAAATTACTCCATTTGCCTATGCAACTATAATTCTAAAAGTTTAATCATAACCTGTAAGCTATGTGGCCCATGGGCTCTTAAGATCTCAGATGACAGCAGGTGACTACTGTTTCTTAGGTACTGTGGTCTGAAAGCATCAAGTAAGTATTTTTACACAGCACAAACCCCGCAGCAGCAGTGGGCCAGACCTGGCACCGCAAACGCCAGCATCTCGAGTCCAGCCTGGTCCAGCTTCAGGTGGAAACTGGGACCAGCCTCAGCCCCGCTGTCCTCAAAGTCCCCAGCCCCAGGGGCCGGTGGCACCGAGGGCTGTCGTTGCCGGGTCCCCTCCCTCCCTCCCAGGCGGGCCCCGTGTCTATGCGCGCAGGCCCCCTCCGGGGCACCCCCGCCGCTGCCCTGGCCCCAGCGGGAGCCATTCGTGGGCAGCGCCCCGCGGAAGGCCGGGCCGCCCTACCGGCACCATGGAGTAGGTCATCAGCATCAGCATCTCCTCGTTCTCGGCGCGCACCTCCCCGCGGACGCGCTCCCCGCGGCGGCTCCGCTTGCTGCGGGCGGGGGGAGCCGGGCCGGGACCGGGGGGACCGGGGGTGCCCGGCAGGTCCCGAAGGTGGCCGTTGGCCGCCTCCAGCTGCCGCAGCGCCGCGCCCAGCTCCCGCCACTGCGCCAGGAGGAAGAGGGTGCCGGCGGCGCTGAGCGCCGAGAGCAGCCCCAGGGCGGCCAGCAGGCACGGCAGCGCCCGCCCGCCCGCCATCGCCGCGGGGAGCCCAGCGGCGGCCGGGGAGGGATTTATGTGCCCCCCGCCGGGAGCCGTGGGACGCCGGCTTGGAGGGGGGGACGGGGGAGGAGTGGCGGCGGGACGGCGGAGCGGAGGCACCGGGCCGGGACCGGGGGCGAGGGCAGGGAGCGCGGCCCGGGCAGCCCCCAAGCCGGGAGGGAGCGGGGGCTGCGGTTAGTGGTTTTCAGAGGGGAATGAACGGGCGGGACAGCCTTGAGCTGCCCCTGCCCGCGCTCACGGCGTGCTGCTAAACGATCGCAATCGCACATGGCTTTGCCCAGGTACCAGCGTTCGCCTTTGCTCCCTTCCTGCACATTGCCAAAATCCCCCCGTCCCACACGCACCGTCAGTCTGCAGCTCGTACAAGCACTTTGCTGCTTTAAGAGCATCTCCTGTCATTCACTAATAACACTTTACCTGTCGCTTTAGATGTTCAAACACAAGCTTTTCAGAAATTATTCCTGCGAACCCTTCTGTGACATGGGACACCTCTAATGGAATAGATTTTGCTCCCAATTAATTCATAGGAAAGATAAGAAAAGGAATTATCCAGAATAACACTATTGAAAGAAGAGCGGAATTTGACTGAATATGAAAATTGCTCGAAGAATATAAAAGTTACTAAACTCAGAACATTTTTTAGAAAAGTTATTTAAAATGTTGACATTTTAATTTCAAAGACAAAGCAGAGGTGCTTTCTTACACTGTTACTACTACAAATCGGCCTCAAGAAATCCACAGCTTTTTGAATACCAAGTTTCCTACAAGAGCAGGTTCTTGATCCCAACTTTGTCATAATGGCAGTTCTCTACAACTGAAGAGGGACAACATTTGGCCTCCATTCTAACTATGCCATTGACCTGCAATTCACACTAATCCCACAGGGCACTGAAGGGCAAACTATTTGGTCAAAACGAATTGAATACATGTGGTTCCGCTGCATCAGTTAACAAAGTAGAGAAGCCAAAATAACTCCATCATATTAAAGTTCTCATCTCTCTGAAATAAAAAAATACTGCAAAAAGTGTCCTCAGGCATTGATTGGAGACTCTTTCCTTCTGAAGCAGTCATGATAGATTTAGGTAGAGCAGGGTGAAAGTAGAAGGGACAGACATCATTGCATCTCATCATGTAATGACAAATAAGACAGAAGAAAATCATCATACATCCAAAGGTGTAAGGCTCACCAGACCAGAATCACAGAATAGTTTGGGTTGGAAGGGACCTTTAAAGGCCATCTAGTGAAACTCCCCTGCAATGAGCAGGGACATCTTCAACTAGATAAGGCTGCTCAGAGCCCCATCCAACCTGACCTTGAATGTTTCCGGGCATGGGACATTGACCACCTCTCTGGGTAACCTGGGCCAGTGTCTCACCACCTTCATTGTAAACATTTTTTCACTTCTACCTAGTCTAAATCTCCCCTTTTTTAGTTTAAAGCCATTACTCCTTGTCGTGTCGCAACAGGCTGGGCTTAATTGTCTGTCCCCATCTCTCTGCTGTAGGCCCCCTTTAAGTACTGAAAGGCCACACTAAGGTCTTCCCAAAGCCTTCTCTTCTCCAGGTTGAACAACCCCAATTCTCTCAGCATGTCCTCACGGGAATCTCCCTCTGATCATCTTCTCTGGGCCTGCTCCAGCAATGCTAATCTCTTTCTCAAAATTCTGAACAGATGTCCTGTAGCATCACTGCACAATCTTAAAAGTCTACTCTTGTGTGTGCTGTAATGCAGGATCACGGGGATCTCTTTGGTAGCTCATACATACTGCAAATATATACAAAATGCCTTTTTCACCCTGTACAGCAGACAGATTTGGAAAAAACCCCAAAGTTCCCCTGTATCGTGCAAGTACTTCCTACACATTATGGTCTAGGAACCAGTTAGACTCTCAGATCTGTTCTGCTCAAATTCTGCCATATCACAGTAAGTTTTCCAGCTTTCTATAAAAAAAAAAATCAGGAATCTAATACCTGAATTGCTATTTTCAGAAAACAGTACACTATTTCAAAATTAATTTGGTTATTAAAAAAACTCAAACAACTTGACAAAACAGCAACTTCATTATCTGATTCTATTTATATTCCCACTAGTAGCCTCCTATGAAATGTTCACCAAAAAAAAGAATCTCACTGAAATGTAAATTACTGCTTGAGCTCTTTACCGTATTGTTGCAGATAATCTATTCTGTGTAAGACGACTAACATTATCCAGATGTGCATATCTTTTTGCAGGATGAACAGTCTTAGAATGTGTTCCACCTCTAAAATACTGACATTCTAAGGAATAATAACAAAACCAAATATGTAAAAAACCTCCTGAAAAAGCACATCTTGGGCCTTGACAGACTATTCTGAAGTTATCACAAAGTTCTACTTATATGTGGATAGTCTTTCTGATTCCAATGAAGATTACAGGAATAATTATTTACTCTGCAGTTGATATCCTAGCTTATCATAGAAGTGCATATTTGAGTTTTGTTTGTAGTATTAATCTTGTGAAGGAAAAAAAAGAAATATGACCTTGCATAGAATTCCCAGAAGACATTGTATCTTAGGCAAGCTTAGTTTATCATTTCACAGGTATAATAAAACTATTAAGTATCTATCATAACAGGAAACTAATGCTTTCTTTCTGAGAACATAAATAAAACTGCACTCCAGAGACCATATAGATAACAAACAGCAATTCTTCATCTTTATTGTCCTTTTCAGAGCATAATGATTAAGTAAAAAGAGTATAATAATAATAAGCTACCATTTGGAGAATAACAGAAGCAATACAGCACTCTTGTTTCCCAATCTGGCTAATCTTGCAGGACTTTCTCTGCATCACGATCAAAAAAAAATTGAACGTTGTTCATTAAAAAAATGAGCCATTGGATCACTGTGAAGATCTTAACCAAGGCTGTGGTACAGATCCTGCTTAGTTGGCACAGTTGTGAGATTCTTCCCCAGACTGTTAATTGCTCCAAAGCTGCTACCTATACCACAGGTTATATGGTTACATGGCAGTCTGGGCAGTACCATGCTTAGTTTGCTAGGACACAAACCTCTGTCAAGAAATTGCCCTGTTTTTTAAAGTCAATAATCAGTTGACAGTGCAGTTTTATGGCAAAGGGGTTCCCAAGCTCAGACTGCTTACAAAGTCCTACTGGCTCCTCCAGCAGCAGAAGCAGCTGTCTTACTGGGCTACGGATATGCCTTTCCCAGCTTCCCACCGAGTCTCTCCTCATACCATATTAACCAGTACTTCATCCAAACATATCCATATCTTCTCACCCTCTGCTTCCGCCCTATAATCCTACATCTCCTTCTAGATCTCTTGTCCCTGTATAACACACCTGAAATGTTGGTCTATCCATACAGCACTAATGCTCCCACTGATGTTTTACTTTGCAAAAATAGTTATTAATGAAATCTCATCTATTTAGGCAGCCTCCCAGTGATAAAGCCCACTGGAGACTGGCATGTTGTTTTCACTTGGGTAGCTAATGCTGAGAGATGGGCTGAGTTGCTGAGGATGATGCTCTTAGTAGATAACGAAACTTCCTCTAGTGATGCCATTAAAAGATTGTACAGTTTATAATCTTTATGAGTGCTATTAGAAAGAATGTATTATTTTTTTCCTGAGCTAGTTAAAGTGAAATAAGTCTTACAAAGCTTTCCTACCCTCCTATGATAACAGCCAGATTTTATTGAATCCCCTTCTTCTTAGGAAATACGATAGAGGTTTAATATATTTGTTTTAGGATTCCAAAGCTACTCTGCTCTCCAAACCAACAAAGTAGAAGGGGAAGATTGTTCTTTGGACTCTCAAACTGATGCACAGTTAATGCTTTTTAGTTTCTTGTGCTTTCTTTGCCACAATTTGATATAGGTACATGTTGCAACTCCATCTTGAGCCTGAATATGCTCAGGAAGGACAGTAAGAGCTAGAAACGCCCTTTCTCTTCACCTCTGTTATCACTGCTCCAACCCTGTGACACACTGGCAGCCGAGTTCCTCTATTCCAAGCACAGTTGCAATTCAATATTGGCACTGAAACCAACCTTGTCCCTATAAGCAAAGGCTTAGCTTTAAAATGTTAAAGGGCTTCTGACCACATGCAGAAAGAAAGGCTTGATTCTGAAATTCATATTAGGTCCTAGTCTATTCATGTTTGGAAAAAATACGTAGGTTTGAAATGTTTTGCAGTAGCTGTAGGTCAGCTACAATAGCAGACTTACAGTGATTCAGAATATGCTAAGCTCCGTCATTAACCTCACCCCACAGAATTACTTCATGCTTGTATCAGAGAGAGACACCAGAATGCAACCCACTCCATTTCTGCACACACATTCCACAGAGATTATAGCATATTGGATACACAGCCTTGCTTTTCAAGGAAGGAGATTGAAAAAAACAAATTTTTTTTTTAGAAAAATTAGAGGAAATAAGGAGGAAATTAGAGGAAATAAATATACAGAAAATAATATGATTCTGATCATTTTGTATCAGGGGAGGCAGGGCTTTTTTTCTTGGAAGAAGCCTTGGATGCTCCCATATAGTACTGCAGAAAGGTTAATGCAAGTAGTTTTGTATTTCAGCCTGGGGTGGAAAGTATTAATAGGAAGAAATGTGTGTGTAATTATTTTTTCATTGCAATACTTTGGCAGGAAGACTTTATCATTAATTCAGGTCCAGAAATTGGACTGGCCTTAAACAGACATACATTATTACCAAAACAGCAGCCAGTTAAAAAAAAAAAAAAGGTTACAGATTGAACAGTACTGGAATAAGTAAAATTTGTGATAGGAATATTTAATTAGATAGGGCAACATCCTTTCAAGCAATAGCACGAAATTGGAATAGCTAAATGATGCTTAACAAGTTACTATCTGAAAAAGCTGACGCTTCAAGCTTCCGTTGTGTATATCAGTGGCACAAGGATGTGAAGCTCCTT